AGATAACAGGATTTCTTTCTGAATAGTTGTATTTTGCTATAGGAACATAGAGGAGTTTGTTTATAGGGTGCTGGCTCTGTTGAGGGTGTATATGTTGACTACCTTCCTCAAATCCCCAAAACATCTGGTTCTAAGAGTTTTAGATAAGGTTTATGGGTCTGGACAACCAACATCCATGTGTACGCCATTTATTACTGAAAATTCTAGCATTTCTTGGTTTCTTTAAAAACATCTTGGGGATTTTTTCTTCTCTCCTTACTTCTGTTTACCCAGAATAAGAGGTTGAAAGTGGGAAAGGAAGGGTAAGGAATGGAGCTTCCCAGGGTGCTAGCAGGTGCCAGCCTTTGATGGGGTCAGACATACCCCTCATAAAGTTCCTTGGGATTTTTATCTGCTCAGTCCTGAGAAGTGAAGCGGTAGGAAGAAGCCCACAGTGTTAGACCCTTTACTTTCCCCGTCTGCCCAGGAGGTTCCTCCCTATTCATTTGGCTATTATTTATGGAGGGCTACTATGTGCTAGAATGGGGGGGAAGGGTACAGAAGATACATCAGAGATCAAGAAACAAAGAGAGAGGCCCTTATTGTTATAGAGGCTACGTACTCTGAGAGTCTACAACTTGACATATTTTTTTCTTAGAATTCTAAAAAAATTGTTCTGTGGGTATTGTCTTACTCCCTAACTTATACCTAACAGTTTTAGCTGAGGGCCCTCTCCATCATCCTGGGCAACTTCTTAAAGTAAACATAAGGTTAAACCTGTGCCTTTTGTATATTCTCACAAGTATAAATGGCTTCCTGCATTATAGAGCATTCTCACTATAAGTCTCTTTGCTGTCGTTCCTGTGCTTGGACGTAAACTTAGTCAAATCTTCCCGTTAGCCAGAGTCTGGATGTCCTCATTCTTCACATGCCTATTCCCAGACATGGAGTTGTTTTTCTACTGTCTCTCAGTTGCCCACCAGGCCCCTTTGTCACATGTTATGAGACTATAATAAGAGTGACCTGGCAGGTAGGCCCAGCTCCTCATGTCATCTGCTAGGATAGGACATTTGAAGCTGTTTCATCACTAAGCATCTCATTGTGTGTCTGTTGCTGTTGACCTAGCTTTTGGTTCCCTATTCCTTTCATCCTCCTGCTAGGAGATCTTAATGTCTCTTTCCTTTCCACAGTTACCAAAGGCTTCGTGTACAGCTCCTTCCTAAAGCCCTACAACCCTCGCCGCAGCCACTCGGATGCGTCCGTTGGCAGCCACTCCTCCACTGAGTCCGAGCACGGCAGCTCCTCCCCCAGGTTCCTGCGGCAGAACAGCAACAACACCTTGACCTTCAACCCCAGCAGCATGGCTGTGTCCTTTACCTCGGGACCTTGCCAAAAGCAGCCTCAAGATGCATCCTCATTGAAGGAATACGACCAAGATGCTCTCAGTGCCTCCGTAAACCTGGGCAATTCAGAGAGTGATCCTTCTAGATGCCCTTCAGAGCCAGACGGCACCTCTCAGCCTACCCCAGGGGACTCTGCACATCCAGCCAGAGATATAAACCCACTTGCTGCCACCCTTCAGAGCTACCGAAACTCTAGACATCCAGAAATGGTTGGTTACTCCATACCAGGGCGAAATGGGCAAGGTAAAGACCTCATAAAAGAATGTGCAAGAACAGCCCAGGCTCTGGAAGACAAAAAGGAAGAGCCAGCAAACAGTGAGCCAGAAGGCAACCAGGTGAGTGCGTCCCTCCCTGGCTTGCCACCGTGGCACAGGCGGCAGAAGGCATGTTGTAGGCAAGGCAATGCTTGCCTGTGTGCAACCTGGGGGGTTGTCTGGAGATGAGTACACAGACAGATGTTATCAAGAACAAACTCCCTGCAATGTGAGTGAGCAACTTGGCACCCTGCACAGCTGGTGCTTCACAGCTGTTCCCAGACCGTTTGTCACTGGACATTTATTTTTTGTACCCCCTGGTAGAGTGCCATGGCATCATAGCTCATAGCAACCACAGACTCTTGGGCTCAAGTGATTCCCTTGCCTCAGCCTCCCAAGTAGCTGGGACTACAGGTGCCCACCATAACGCCTGGCTTTTTTTTTTTTGTAGTTGTCATTGTTTAGCTGGCCCTGGCCAGGTTCAAACCTCCCAGCCTCGATGCATGTGGTTGGCACCATAACCACTGTGGTACAGGTGCCGAGCCTGAGCTTTTAGCATTTTTTTTTTTTTGATAGAGACAGTCTCATTTTATTGCCCTTGCTAGAGTGCTGTGGTGTCACACAGCTCACAGCAACCTCAAACTCCTAGGCTTAGTCAAGTCTCTTGCCTCAGCCTCCCAAGTAGCTGGGACTACAGGCGCCCACCACAAGGCCCAGTTATGTTTTTGTTGCAATTTGGCCCAGGGCCAGCACCCTACCTACTGAGCCACAGGCAATGCCCTATTTAGCCATTGTTCAGCAGGCCCAGGCTTGGTTCAAACCTGCCAGCCTTGTATGTGGCTAGTACCCTACCCACTGAGCTACAGGTGCCACCTGGGCTTTTTTGAGATAAGAGTCTCACTGTCATCCCTGGGTAGAGTGCTGTGGCAACATCATAGGTCACAGCAACCTCAAACTCTTGGGCTTAAGAGATCCTCCCGCCTCAGCCTTCCAAGCAGCTGCGACTACAGGCTCCTACTATAGTGCCCAGCTAGTTTTTCTGTGTTTAGCAGAGTTGGGCCTCACTCTTGTTAAGACTGATCTTGAGCTCCTGAGCTCAAGTACTCTACCCACCTAGGCCTTGCAGAATGCTAGGACTATAGGCTTGAGCCACCACACCCAGCCCTGTTTTGGTTTTCTTAAATTCATAACTTCTGTGTTGAGTGAAGAGTCTTTCTTCCACCCTTTAGGCAAATCTCAAAGACTGAAAAGGTGTGAATTTTGGCTTCCTTTGAATCTGCCCAGGCCATTGTGGTAGCCACCAGCCATAGTAGCTATTTACAATTTAGTAAGATTAAAAACTCAGTTCCTCAGGAGGACTCAACAGCCACAGGTGGGCAGGGCAGTTGCAGAACATCCCCCACCACAGGGAGCCCACCACCAGCATTGCTCCCCACAGTTTTCCGTTTCCTGACGCACCTTCTCTCCCTCACACAGGTCTATTTTGCTGTCTATACCTTCAAGGCCCGAAACCCAAATGAACTGAGTGTGTCAGCCAATCAGAAACTCAAGATCCTCGAGTTTAAGGATGTTATGGGAAATACAGAGTGGTGGCTGGCTGAAGTTAACGGGAAGAAGGGCTACGTTCCATCCAATTATATCCGCAAAGCGGAGTACACCTGAGCCTATTCTGCCACCCACCGGTCCTCGCCGCCTTTGCTTCCAGTCTGAAGGGTTCTGATGGTCGCCCCAGAGGGCACCTGCCTCTGAGACACAGGCCCTCCCCGCATCATTTTGCCACGGTGAGGTGGGGCCCAGGGGAGTCTCGTTCTCCCGGATTGGGTTGTAAACCTTGATGCTCACTAGAATTCCTAGAATCTGAGTGGACCTAAGGCTTTGCTCGTGATTTAGAGACCATGAGAAGAAAGGCAAGTCCTGGGGTCAGCCTTTGGAAGTGAGAAATCCTCAATCAGAAGACCAGCATCCTATGTACACAGGAAGCTGTGCTATAGTGTCGGAACATGTGGGTGCTGGTTGTACCGTACTGTGTCTGGGGTGGCCTCATGCTCCATGATCAGCTGACCAGACACTGATTTGGATGAAGAGAAGAATTATGGCTCTGGGAGCCCTTCTGGCCTGTGCTTTTACATATGGCAAGGAGTTTGTCAGGACTGTACTGAACCTGGTGCATCAGAGCTTCCAGGACACCTCCAGTGTCCGGAACACTGTCACACACACGCCCCCTGATTCTAAGGTCCCAAAAACTACCTTCTGTAATCTTTCTTTTACTGCATTCCCAGATTGGTGATACAAAATCCAGCTGCTTTCTACTTTTTAGGAAGTGTTGAGGGTCTTTTATTTTCCTTCAGTCCTTCCTGTGAAAGTCCTGGTGCTCTTCCCTCATTAGGTACCATCATTGCCACCTTTCTGACAATCACCCCTCCTTTCTGCAGTCTGTGGGTGATGTCTCATAGCCCCCTCCCCCTGGACTCAGTAACTGGCTGGTTTTCCTGAAGTAAAACGATAAGCACTCCAGCCTTTCCATTAAAGTCTCTGCAGTGAGCACATGGATGGCTTTCTCCATTATCCATTTAGTCACAGCTACAGATGCAGAAAACAAACTTTGACTTATTTGAATTAGGTTAAGCAATTCCACCTGTCACCATAGCCTCCATGCTTCGGAGATGACATTCAGAGCCAAATAGAATCTGAAGTGCCTGATCACCCCTGCCAGTCTCAGGAAGATATTTCCTAACCCCCTACCCTGAGAAACTCCCCTTGAAAGGTCTCTAGAGCAGGGTTATTTTTAAAATTTCCCCAGATACGAAGCCCATCTTGGAACAGGAGACTGAATTCTGTCTTTTAGAAAGGGAATTATTATACAAATATAAGGCTATAACATTAGGTATTTTTCCTCTTAAAAAAAGAGGGGTGGGAATTGAGAACAGCTTTACAGGCCCTGCTCCTCGAAGTGCACATTTAGCCTTAAAACCCTGGTGAGTTGGGCAGACCCCCATGGACTCCTCACCCACAGTGTCTTTGCTGATCGTGGTCAGAAGGCAGCCTTGCAGGGGTCTCTTGTGAGAGTGTTTCTACTTAGAGATGTTTATATTTAGTTATTTTATAAATAAAAGCATTTCTAATGGCCAGGAGTATCTTCTTCATTTCTCTCCGTCTTTACTTAGACCACTTTGCTCTGCCTCTTGGGGAATGTCTTGACAAGTCAGTGATACCCAGATTCTGGGGGACTGGGAGAAGCTCACTGAAGAAACATGGGTCAAAATTCATTTTGTCAAATATTGCAACAGAATTTCTGTATATGCAAAACATGTCCATGCTGCAGGTGGTTGCTTTTTGCCCTATAAAATTACAGCAGAACAGAAAAGGTGAGTCGCTAAGGGAGAAGTATCTGCCCAGTGTTGTAGACATGGAAACACTGGAGATGAGCTAGCAGGGTCGCTCCGCAGTCATTCAGGCAGGCTGGGGGCAGCCAAGGGAAGGGCAGGACAAGTGGTGGAGATGGGATTGAGGACGGTATGGGGTGACAGAAGTCATCACCCAGTGTTTAGGAATAGGAAACCATTGAGAAGGAGGCCGTGGGGAAGAAGCTTATAAGTCATCTAGGTGGATTCCTTCATTTTATGGACTAGGAAACTACGGTCCAAAGATATTCTACATCAAGTTTTTGAGAGATTATGAGTTTAAACTTGGCCCTGCGGGCTTTGAGTCTGCACCTTGTTCTGGGGCCAGACTGTCTGCCTTCGAACACATGCTGGGACCATGGATATCAGCCAGAGGCTGGAACAGGACTTTTTAGCATTCAACCTCCTGCAGAGACATTTTGAACTACTCACACATGCAAAACCTTCACAAGTGCTAAAGAAACCAGGTGAGAGATTATAGCACCTGGGTATAGCACAAATCAGAACAGACACATCGAAGATGACAGGAAAGACTTTTCCATTGCATCACCTCTGCCCTGACCTCAAACAGCACAGCATGGAAAGATCCCCAGACTTGGACCTCAATGCCAAGTCCCCCAGTAAAACCCAGTGCTGGCAGCCTCCAAAACCCCAGGCTCCAGTCCTATCTGCAGCATGCGTGGGTGGCTCACAGGGGAGTGGCTTGAGATGACTGCAGTCACTCAACGTTTTGCTCAAGCCCACACACCTGCCCACCCTTGCTAGACATAAATGGCTTCTGCATCCTTTTTGATCCTGCTGACCAGAAGTTTTGGCAGCTATATAATTCCTAGGTTTCCAGTTGGGAAAAGCATAGAAGAGAGTGGGAAGTGGTGAGTGCCAACAGACCATCTTATTGGAAAGTAGAAATTACGTATGCATAAGGCTTAAACATGGCCTTGTGCTTGATACCATGTGTGCAGTGTGAGTCAACAATTTGATCCTTCTTATGTTCAACTCGATTCAAACCACAGAAAAGACAAACAGAAAACAGTCCTGGGAGGAGAATGCCATCCAGGAGCTGGTCATTCCAGCCAGTAAGTAGCCATTACTCCCACAATATACTCTCCTACCCAGAGCACCCACCAATTTCCTTGTCCAGCTTTGCAGATCTGGCAGGAGATTAAGGGATTCAAATTAGACCTAGGTAAGCAAAAGAGATCAAGGCTTTAGCAAGCCATACTCCTCTTGCCCATCTCAACATCTCTATGCATCCAAAACACTTGAAGGACAAAACCTACTGCAAAGCATTCGAGAATAGTACAGACCTTTACTGAAGATTTCTAAAGTATGTGGAAAAAGAGGATAATCCTACATATCACAAAGTAAAACTTCCTTTAAAAATCCCTTTAACCCAAAACATCTCTTGACCCCAAACTAATACTTCCTCCAGCATCAGCTCAAGCCTCAACTCTTCCTTCTCTGTCTCAACTTCCCTCTCACCCACTTCCCTACTGCCAAGCATTCCTTCTCATCCTCCCTCTCACTTTTTTTTTTTTTTGAGACAGAGCCTCAAGCTGTCCCCCTGGGTAGAGTGCCATGGCTTCACTGCTCACAGCAACCTCCAACTCCTGGGCTCAAGCGAGTCTCCTGCCTCAGCCTCCCAAGTAGCTGGGACCACAGGCGTCCGCCACAACACCCAGCTACTTTTTGGTTGCAGCCATTATTGTTTGGCAGGCCCGGGATGGATTCGAACCCGCCACCTTAGGTGTATGTGGCTGGCGCCTTAGCCGCTTGAGCCACAGGCGCTGAGCCCCTCTCACTTTAGGTCAGTTTAATTTCTTATATTGACATCTACCTCAATTACCCGCCAACATCACAGCAGAACAAAGGCCTAATGGCCAAGCCATGCAGACAACAGACCCTCTGAGAGGGTTTAATACTTTTATACTTGGTTATTTTGTGTTTTATATGATGCTAAAATGAGTAACTTGGTTCCAAGGAATGTGCCATGACACAATGTTCCATCTTCAAGAGATTCTGAAAGCTTTCTACCTTAGGCAAGTTCGGGGTGTGGAAAGGATCATCTCCCACTCACTCAGCTAGTACTGTATCAAATGTTGTAGTATATTATCTTATTTCTATACCCCAAACACAGAGGTTAAAAATGTGACCAGGTTTGCCCAAATGCAAATAGTGAAGTTCAGATTGAAATACTGAATACTGAGTGTCCCAGCACACTTGAGTATTTAAGCACTTGCTATACAACCCACTTGAGAGCACACCTGTTCATCTCTGGCCCTAAGCCATTGAATGATCCTCCCTAGCTTTGTTTCAGGGAATCATTCATCTAAAGCCGAAGAAACTTTTCTTTTTTTTAAAGACAGAGTTTATGTCACCCTCCGTAGAGTGCTGTGTTTTCACAGCTCACAGCAACTTCAAACTCTTGGGCTTAAGCAATTCTCTTGCCTCAGCCTTCCAAGTAGCTGGGATTACAGGCGCCCACCACAAGGCCCGGCTATTTTCTTATTGCAGCTGTCATTGTTGTTTAGCTAGCCTAGGCCAGGATCAAACCCGACAAACCTGGTGTATGTGGGTGGTGTTGTAAATACAGGCACCAAGCCAAGAAACTGGTCCTTTAAATCTTGAAAAATTAAACAGCAATGAGACTAAGCCAGTCTCCATTGCCTTCAATCAATGTGACAATATGTAACCTCCAGCTGTCTTTCTAGCCCTTCTACATAGAGATGATTTGGAGACCTGACCCCACTGCTCTGCTCCTGAACCCTTGGTTTTTGTTGAACTTTAACCCCATAAACCCAATCTTTTGACCTATCCACTTGGAAACTGTATCCCAGTAGGGAAGTTCCCCTACAAGAGATAACTCTTTAGGAAATTTCCAAAATGCACTTAGTACCCATAAATGACCTGCCTGGTTCCCTAATCTGTCCAACCATGTAGAGGCTTCTAGATAATTTTGGTCCTCAGTTTACTCCTGGAAGTCTCATGTAGCATCTATTCCAACTTAAGATAAACATGCTGATCCTAAAATTCATATGGATGGTATGACAATCTTAAAAGAATAACAAACTATGCAACTACAGTAATTGAAAAGTAACTGGATAAATTGGACTTGATCAAAATTGAAAACTTTTGTGGCTCAGCACCTGTAGCTCAAGTGACTAAGGCTCCAGCCACATACACCAGAGCTGGTGGGTTAGAATCCGGCCCGGGCCTGCCAAACGATGACGACAACTATAACCAAAAAATAGCCAGGCTTCATGGTGGGTGCCTGTAGTCTCAGCTACTTGGGAGGCTGAGGCAAGAGAATCGCTTGAGCCCAAAAGTATGAGGTTGCCGTGAGCTGTGATGCCACAGCACTCTAACCGAGGGTGACAAAATGAGACTCTGTCTCAAAAAAAAAAAAAAAAAAAAAAAAAAAAATCCACAGAATAGGAATAAAAATATTACAAATCAAAAATCAAATAAGGCACTTACATCCAGAATATAGGAAGAAATCTTGTAACTCAGCAATAAAAAGACAAAAACCAAATTTTAAAATGGGCAAAGGAATTAAATAGAAATTTTCCAAAGAAGATATACAGATAGCAAATAAACACATGAAAAGATTCTCTAGATTATTAGTCATTAGGGAAATCCAAAGCAAAACCACAATGAGATGACTTCGCATCCACTAGCATGGCTAAAATAAATTTAAGTTGAGTATATCAACTAGTTGTAGGTAGATGGTTTTATATATGGGTTGCCTGTTCTGTTCCATTGTTCTATATTTCTACTTTTGTACTAGTGCCATGCTGTTTTGGTTGTAATAACCTGTATTCAACAAAGCAGACAACATACACACTGGGGAAGGGAAGGCCTATTCAATAGACAGTGCTGGGGAAAACTGGACAGCCACATGCAGAGGAATGAAACAGGACTGCTATCTCTCACCCCTTACACAAATTAATTCAGGATGAGCAAAAGACTTAAATGTAAGGCAGGAAACCATAAAAATTCTACAAGAAAATGTAGGAAAAACTCTTAGACATGGGCCTAGCCAAAAATAATGTATGACTGAGATCCTAGAGGCAAATACAGAAACAAATAAGTAGGGCTTGATTGAATTAAAAAGCTCTGCATAGCAGAAGAATAATCAACAGAGTCAATAGACAACCTACAGAATAGGAGAAAATATTCACAGACTATAAAGGGCTTATATGCAGAATCTATGAAGTTCTCAAATTACCAAGAAAAAAAATCATTAAAAAGTGGGCAAAAGCTATGAACAGTTTATCAAAAGATAGACAAATGGCCAACAAATGAAGAAATGCTTGATGTAATCAACCATCAGGGAAACGCAAATTAAAACCACAATGAGATACCTCTACCTTACCCTGTCAGAATAACTACTATTAAAAAGTCAAAAACAAGGCCAGGTACAGTGGCTCGCACCTGTAATCCTAGAACTCTGGGAGGCCAAGACTGGTGAATTCCCTGAGCTCAGGAATTTGAGACCAGCCTGAGCAAGAGCAAGACCCCCTTCTTTACCAAAAATGGAAAATCTAGCTGGGCACTGTGGCCAGCGCTCATAGTCCCAGCTACTTGGCGGGGCTGAGACAAGAGGAACACTTGAGCCAAAGCATTTGAGGTTGCTATGAGTTATCAACTCTACCCAGGGATGACAGAGTGAGACTCTGTCTAAAAAAAAAAAAAGCCAAGAACAGTAGATACTGGCATGGATGC